TTTTTTGAAAAAATGCGAATTTCCAGTACACCAAAAGTGGAAGTATTGCTTGAGCGGTTGTTTGTGAAAAAATTCAAGTATGCAAATGAACTCATGTTCATTTACATATTTGGATGAGAGCGGTCGTTCGCTGCAAAACGTACTCGTTTCTGATTTTTCGGTAAAGTTGAGTATTCCTCACGCCTATCTGGAAATAATTCCACCTCCAAGCAAAATTAAGCAAAGTTAAGATCGCAGTTGAAAGTAGAACATTCCAGCGAATTTTCAGCCTCGCAGCTTATCCGGCAAGCGAAATATCCGCTTTGCTACAAACATTTTTGAAGTGCCCTAAGTCGTGGCGCACGTGCAAACCAATTTGAAAGACAAATATTCCGACAAAATTTCAGCCATTGTTTTCCGGCAAGTTTTTGAGTTAGCGTAGTGCCAAGTCGCAAATTTTAACGTAGTCCTATACGCTGCGCAAGCGTGCGCGGTAGCTGAATCTGGAATTTTTAGCTCACACACACAGAGAATATCCCTGCAAAGTTTCAGCTTTGTACCATGCCTCGTTCGCGAAATCGCTTCTCGCCAAAGAAATTTGCATGTTTTCTTGGGGGGAGGGATCAGTACGCGGGGTCTAGGCGCGTATAGGAGAAAATCTTAAGAGAGGAGGGTAAAGCACGGGGTAGGAACATATACCATTTCAACGTCCCAGCTTTCCTAGTTGCTGAGATGAAAGTGGGTGACAAAATGCACTCGCTTCCGCACACACCCACCCACACACAGCCTCTTAACAATATGCGTTTTTGCTGGCTGTAGCATTGCTATAGCGCTGCACAGCAAAAACGCATAAAAACACATATGACTACCTTGTCTGTGTGTATGTGTGTGTGTGTGTGTGTGTGTGTGTGTTCGTTTGTCCGGATATTTCAACTCGGTTCCAGTGCCAAAATTTTGTCAGATGGTTCCCTGGCCAAGTATCACCCCAGGACCGCGGTAACTCACGCACGTTTAGGCCCTGCGTTAAAGCGCATGAAAATATTGGCGGGAAAATTGCTAACTCGGGAACGAGAAAACCTAGAAGGCTGAAACTTTGAAGTAATGTTCCCCGCTTACACAGAATTCAACGATTTCAATTCAGCCCCCAGGTAGGCGTGGTTCTCACATACAGCCCCGTGGTGGAAAAATGGCTAACTCGGAGACCAGGAAAGCTAGGAGGCTGAAATTTAAGAGGGTTGTTCACAGCCCATATAGAACTTAAAGTTATCAAATCTAGCCCCCAGGCATATGTGGTTCTTTATACAAAATTTACGATGATTTACGAAATTGAGCACGCAAGGTAGGTGTGAAGCAACAGATATTCATGCAGTTAACCTAATTACTTCAATCATGGTGCAAAAACGCATGATCGCACCGGCAAGCCTGGTGCGTTCCGCTTTGCGAACCTAAAGAGCATTCCGCCAACAAATTTAAAGCCCATTTTGGCAAAGCGAGCTCTTGCACAAGGCCAAGAAGCCTACCTCTTTTTTCCATCCAAAAAGATCTTGGAACAGCTGCTTGTTACTTTCAAGTTTATCCATGGATAAATCGAAACCAGCGCTGAAGGAAGCAGGATGCGTTAGTTTACATAAGACAAATTTTGTACCTGAAAACTGCTTAAACATCTGCGCCAAAAGTTCATGAGGATAGTATATTTTTTAGAAGCGTAATAAGGCACTTTAATAGGTCCAGTGACGGAAAAATGATGTCGACGTGCACATCCTTGCGTTCCAACAATGCCTTCGGAATAGTAATAACGACAAAATCGCGATCAAACAATTCTTCAACTTGCGCCCAGCAAATGTCCAGTACAGCTGTAAATTCTATAAACCAGTAGCTACACGCGCCAGGCTTCCAGGCTCACAATTTTCTCCACAAATGCATGTGGCCGGATAACTCTATTTTTTGGATAATTGCTTCTAGCTAAGCGAACAGAAATACGCATTTGTTATTTCATTCTTTTTTACTTTCACAGTGTTGAGGTGTAATGCAAAAATTGCCGGTGCCGAACGACATCGTACTTGAGGTGTAGGAGGAACATGGAAACTGTTTTACATGCGTCTGCCAAACACAGTCGTAGAGCATGCACCTAGCACCCTACTTATCTCATTTTCGGTTCTGCTAAGAGATGTTTGTATAAACTGATTTCACGTATTCAAGCGAGACTGAACCGAACACGTTACACCAGATTTTTGGTGTTTTCTAGATCTAGCGTCTAATGCTTTGGTAATTAAGCGAATTAAATAAATAATTGAGTTCGAACATCGGTGGTATGGTCCGGTAGCGAAAATTCTGCTGTTTCTTAATACGGTAATTAAACCAGGCGTATACGTGATGGGTCGATACCAACCACTCTGGAAGATCATCGTCAATCCGGGTAGCCAAACCACTTCCTGGAAAACATACACGAACTGTAAAGAGTTCCACAAATTAATCCAAGTGACTTAAACAGCTATACAGAATTACGTATGGGAAAGCCCAGAATAAGAAAATGGGATGTACCATCGGCATCAGTGGCAGGAAGAAATGCAGCAATGAAATAACTGGACAGACTATCAGAGCTAATGAAAAATTTATTTTTGTTTCGGGGAATTGTGCAAAAATATTTCCTAACAGAGCATCGCAGTGTTGCTCATCATGCTCGGGTTCAAGAAAAGCTTTTTCTTTCTTCCCTTTCACACTTTTTTGTCTAGCCATTTCTAAATTCCTCGAAATTCAGAGGACATTCATACCATTAAATAAATCAATTTTTTAAGACACGAAACATTACGTCCCCAATCCAAGTAAGTATTAATGAACTCAAACCCATCACCCGGGTACGTGTAGTACCCACATGCGGGTCCGTGAAAGTTTTCTTCCAGTAAGTTGATAACTCAGAAGCCAGGAAAGCTAAAAAGCTGAAATTTTAAGGGGGTGTTTCCTGGCAATTCTAGCGGCCAGTCTTAATGTGTTTAACTAGAAGTATCTGCCGGAAAAGCCGGTGCCGGTAGCAACAAAAACTGCGGGGAACTGTGCAACAAATACATCTTCGTCCGGGCAGCCCGTGCGCTGGCCAATTATTCGAAAATGACCCAGCTGTTCAATGAGTAACTTTCCCGCCAAAAATTTAAGTGCCTGTACGCGATAATCAAGCATACCAAGAGGCTGAATTTGAACCTTTAAATTGCATTTGGATGGGGAATATTTTCTTAAAACCTCAGCTTTCTAGTTTTTTTGATTTCTGAGTTTGCAATTTTTTTGCTAAAACTTTCACGGGACCGTGCGTGATCTGAGCACACAATTGAGGGCTGAGTTTGAAATCTTTTAGTTGTACGTGGGCTGGGAACATTCTTTTGAAATTTCAGCCCCGCAGCTTTACTGGTCCCGGCTTAGCCATTTTCCCGCCAAAAAATTTGGCAGGCCTTACGTGAGAACCACGCATGCCTGGAGCTGAATTTCACAACTTTAAGTTTACATGGTCGGGAAACCTTCCCTTAAAATTTCAGCCTCCTAGCTCTTCTGGTTCCCAAGTTAACGATTTTCTTACCAGAACTTTCACCCTCTCGTAAACGAGGCCTAACTTACGTGAGGGTTAGTACCACGATCCTGGTGTGGCACTTGATTGGGGGACGCGTTGGAAAAATTTTGGCGTCGGAGCTTGCTTGCTAAATACCCGATCAGACGAACACACACACACACACACACACACACACAAATACACACATACACACAACATATACATACATAGACAGGGTCGTTACAATATGCGTTTTTGCAATTTGCATGTAAGCAAAAACGCATAAAAAATCTTCGCCATTAAGAAATCAACAGAATGCCATAGGTAGTAGTTTACAGGATCCACACCTTTTCCGCTTCTTCACTTTTGAAATATCTGTCATATTGTTTTATTAGCAGATGATTTTCATTAAAATCTTTTCTTTGTCTTGGAAAAATGCCGGGTGGAAATTTGAGGGCCAAAACTTTGCTGGCGGTGCGTATTCTCTCCAGCCTGTTTACTTCGTAATACCAATTTCTGCACACTCTGAAATGAAACAAATATTGTTACCAATCATTAGCACCGCTTAGATTGTATACTTAAAATTTCGATAGTCCTGAGATACGGTCAGGCAGCGAGTGATCTTCTGCAAAATAGCACGTTTAAAAAATTCGGCTGTGGTGATGGCCTATGCATACGCGTTCAAATATACACAAGGTCGATACGTGCATGTAGATAAATTAACATAAAATTAACTGAGCTGGCAAGTTTGTCCCCTTATACACGTATCAGCGCTAGCAATCGTCGTACTGAATACAGATGTGTACGAAACAACGAGCCGAAATATTCCTGTTCATTTAGCTTTTTTAAATATATTTTGGATTTTAGCATACTTTGTCTTACTCATATCACCCTTAATACTTTCATTACATACTTACATACATGCACGCAAACTTAAATACATAAAATAAAGCTCACACATGCCACGCTGCGTCAGCTATGCCTACCCAGATGCGTGAACTGCAACGAAGTCTACCCGCGCTTCGATTCCGTTCACCCCTCACGAAGCAAGGGAGCTGTGCAGTATAGGTGGGCCCAGCTCAAGAAGGAAATGGGGTTAACAGCCTCTCGAAGAGCTGCCACTGGAGTGGAACATACGGCAGCGCCAGACCTACAAGGCCGGGCTGACGAGGCTTTACCAGGAACCCCCCACGCATTGGTGGATACCGACTCCGGGGGAATTTTGACCGCCCAATAGAGGATTGAGTGGCATCCGTAGGATAACACCCTCACGGATGGCGCTACCGTTCCTCCAGATTCAATCGACACTGAGCTTCATGCCCACTTTGGGGATGCCTTCTACGGGTACCTCCGCTGGGCTTAGCTCACATACACTAGGGAGCCTATTAGGCGTCCCAACGGGACTATTTCTCGGGAGCTGCTTCTACTCGCGAATCGGTGTGTGGCGCGCGTATGTGGCTCCGTCGATGGGGTTAGCACCTCGGAGATGGGGCGCCTAAATGCGTGCATATATGCGGCGGGTAGAGCTGTCGCGCAGCTGCATGCTGAGGGGCAAGATATGGGCAGGGCGGCAACGGAGGACTGGTTTCGCCGGAATAGGGATTTGGAACGGGAACTTTTGGAGCGAATTTCCTCCATTACGCAGGAGCTTGAGCGGCGTAGGGAAAAGAGGAGACCAACTCCAACTGAACTGGAGAATATACGCCAAATCCGACGAGATGTGGGGAGAAGGAGCACCTCAGAGCTGCAACGAATCCTTGAGAGGACAGTTCAGCGCAGGCACTTACTCCGTGCTCGAATCGACCTGAGAGAGCAAGAAATATGCCGTAAAACTCTCAGGAAAAGGTTCCAGGCGCGGCCGAATCTGAGCTTGCTCCAACCACACGCTGACCGACGCGACAGACAAGTTGCCCCCACCATTTCAGCAGTCTACGACTTCTGGCACAATCTCGTCGGAACGAAGGTCGAATGTGACCCGGAAGCAATACCGCTACTCCGCGCATGGAAGGATAAAATGCAACGCGATTATCCGGCAACCAGCGCTATCGAGTCTGGCCGGCATCGGAGGACTTTTGACGCGGCCGTGCGTCAGATTAAACCCTGGAAGGCTCCTGGTCCTGACGGGATCCAGGCCTTCTGATGGAAAAAGCTCCCCTGGGCTTACGCTCGGCTTGGTAGGCTCGCACTGCAAATGCTTGATAGCGGGAAAGTTCCCGGTACATTTAAGGGTAAGTAAAAATGTAATTGGAAAAAGTAAAAAGAGGTAATGAAGTAAATAAAAAGAATGAACAAGGAAAAATATAAATGGAAATAATAAATTAGGTAAGAAATGTTTCGGTCCATTAAGTCGCATACATTTCTTACCTTTACCACAGTTGGACCTCGTCAGTACGACGGCTGTGATAACTATATTTTTGGTAAAATTAAAGAATGATTAAAGTAAAAAAGTAAAAAGTAAGAAAGTAAAAAAGAACATGGTTTGCGAAAGGCCGGACGGTACTGCTCTATCAATCCGGCGCTAGAGCAGACCCATCTAACTACCGACCTATTACCTGCCTAAACACCTGCTATAAGCTAGTGAGCAGTGTTGTGAATAAAGCTCTCACGGATCACGTCCAGAAGGGCAGTGCGATCCTGGACAACCAGAGAGCAGTGCGTAAGGGGGAGTGGAACTGCACTCATGCTCACATGCTAGACTGGGCAGTGGTGCTGGACACAATGTCGCAAATCAAAAAACCCCTCAGTATGGCCTGGGTCGACATCTAAAAGGCCTTCGACTCGATATCCCATAGTTACCTTCTACGGGTACTTAAGTCCATCTGTATTCCTTGTAAGATCCTCCGGATCCTACAGCGGCTCATGAGCTGTTGGAGTACGCGATACGAGCTTTGAAGGCCCAGAGGACTAGTCCAGAGCCCAATATTGAAGGTGGTTCGAGGTATCTTCCAAGGAGATACCCTCTCGCCGACATTATTTGTCCTTGCTATCGCACCACTCAGCCATGCACTCAACGACTCGGTCCCTCCGCTAAAATCATCTTCGGGGTGGTTAAAAGGTTTCGGATTTTACTTGGGCCTCCATTTCTATATGGATGATCTTAAGTTATATGCATGGAATCCCAGGGATTTGGGTCCCCAAAGTGAGGTGGTAAAGGAGGTAGCTACGGCTGCCGGTATGGCTATAAACGTGGGGAAGAGTGCGCAAGTCCAATATGATTCGCACGCAAGGCAGGATCCGGACTGGAAGAAGGTGGAGGTGGTGGAACAGACCTGCCAACGTTGGCCCCCACCGAAGCCTATAAGTACCTGGGAGTGGAGCAACGCCTACTGGCTACGGATCGGGCTACCGAGCGATTCGAACACGCTCCGATTGCGAAAGCCGAACTCATTTTCGGCAGCAATCTTACGTGGGGTCAGATGACCCACGCGTACAGCTCGATTGCGGTGGCTGGCATGCGGTATGTCTACTAGCAGACTTCTGGCGGCAGCCGGAAGTTGGTTGGAGCCCTACACCGCGTCCAGAAGTTAGACATGCGGATACGTGATGTGCTTACGGATAAGAAGTGCCGGTACCGCAAGAGTACCGTCGACCGGCTTTATGTCCCCGGCGAACTAGGTGAATGTGGGTTAGAGTCCTTGAGGACTGTCTGCGGGGATGTATTATAGCTACCTGGGCCTATGTCACCACCCACCCATCCATGCGCTCTCAACACTATCTCTTTGAGCAGCTTGCCTCACGAAGAAGAGGAGCTCTATCACAGATGGAAATCGGATCCTCCGAGAGGAAGTTATCCAGCTTCACTGTGATGTCAGGATCGGCAACGTCGGTATAGATGATTGGGTATCCAGAAACCCTACCGACCTTTTCCGGTATCTGAGGGGTATCCTATGCGATAAGGCCGCAAGCAAGCGTAGAACTGGATGGGAAGCCCAACCACACGCTGTCTCGTCTCACTGACGCAGCACAAAACGAAAAAAAGCTGCTAGGGGTACTTCTGTCTGTTTGTCTAGGAGTACCCCGCAAAGCATAAAAATCTCGATTACGCCATATTAATTTGAATATTTTTAGAGAAACAAACTGCGCAGCACGTGTTCGGTCCTTTGTTCCCAAGTAGTTAAATATGTGTGCTAAAATTTCAGGGTGTTGAACCAGCACGTGATTTTGATTGCAATATTCTGCGTCTGTACTGAACTCTTCGTAGCCGTGTTCTGCTCCTGCTGTGACTTGGTTACTTTCGAAACTGGAGCTAGCAAACACGTCTTCGGCAGGTCGCTTGCTGGACAAATTTTGAGTCGTTTCTGCTCAAAGTAACTTTTCAGTCTATGGCTGGAAATCTTGAGTTCAAATTTTTTAATACTTTTTGAGTTTGCTCAGTTGTTAATGCGTTTTGGCAAGTAGCCCGCTTTAGTCATAAACAAATTCCTTTTAATCCCCGTTTTCTGTCCTCTGCCGCAAAACCCTCTCCTGTCTAGACAGTATATTGAATGTCTTTTTTACGGAAATCAAGTCAGAAACCTTCGCATAATCGCTCTAAATGAAAGGCAAGGACACCCGGAAGCGAGATGGTAAGGCATCTCAAAATAGTACGGGAATACCAATGCTTGAAGACGGTGCTGGCGCTCAATATACATCACTGGATCTGCTGTCACTATAAGTACGCGAAATTTCTTTTATGTGCCGAGCTTTTGAACCTTAACCGCTTTAGATATGAAAGAAACGTCAGGACTGCTAGAAGGCCAGCGATCGTGTGATGCAGCACTGGTCAAAATAACACAAAATGAAGAGGTGAAAATGTTATTTCTGCTAGCTACACTACTGGGCACTTGATTGTGAAAGCAGATAACAGTAGTGAACCAGTAGCCATTTATAACATTAGAAAATAAAGCAACTTATCGGTACCGGTGGCTTTTGTTGTTGCATCTGTTGGATAAGCAGTTGAGAAAGTGCCAATCGCAACTATCAGCAAAAGCACTTTCACAAGCATCTGGAACAAAAGCACAGAGAAATTCTACAAAAGTAAACGAAACATTGAAATGTGCATGTAAGCCTGAAATATGAAAATCAGAATATTTAGTAAATGCTAATCGGTGGCGATCAATTTAAACGCTAATGGGAAAAGAAGAAAGGTTTCCAGCGGATGGGTTGAGAATGAGCTGAGGGGAGATGGGATGTTTGCTCACATCGCCGGCATTCAGTCGGAGTGGAAAGGAAAGTGAATTTTGTGCCCAAATTCTAGGTTTATATACAGTGCGACCGTGGACGTCAGCGGAGGAAGCAGCTCGTAAGCATATGGTGAAAAGGCGTGGCCAGCCCAATGGACTTGCAGTAGGTACTGCCTGGTAAGCGGGAAGAATACTAATTCAGTTTTTGCCTAATCCTGGCGTTATAATCCTGGGAGTGTGGTGGATGGTGCATGATTTTCGCCTCCCATTTTATCAACATTCATATTTGCATAAAATACCCTTGTTAACCTTCCTCCAATAACGTCAACATTTGCCTCATCTCTTTTTCTGCCTTTTTTGTGTATTACTAAAACACGGCTCGGCTCAGTTCGGCTCGGCTCGTCTCCTACACGAGCTGCAAAAAATTTTTTTCCGAAAGGCGGATAGGGTTGCCCCACGGCAGATGGCGGTAGTTTGAATGTGGTGCCAGCGTAAGTTAAAAAAAGTAGGAGGGAGGGTTTTTATGGCTTTTCAGGTTACGCATATGTGATGTGCAACGTATAGGGTAGACGCATTTTACAGCCCCTTGAGATCGTCTACACACCTCGTACCTTGGCTACATCCACATTCTTCCTGTATATAAGCCCAGTTTTTGGGCACAAAACTCAGTCTCTCCGGTCCACTAGGGCTGAGTGGTGGAGGCGAGTTGTTCGCCCACTGTCCTCAGTTCTCACTGCCAGGGGGGAATGGTGTGCGGCTTAGGGGGACTGAGTGGGGGAGGGGGCGTTTGGCCGCCCACTACTCACAGTCCTCACTATCAAGGGAGAGGGGGAAAAATTTGGTGCTTAGGAAGAGAGAGGGGAAAGGAGAAGACATTTCTACACCCACTAACCGCCGCCCACCCTTCCACGCACCCCCACAGCCACAGATGCCCCTCTACTATCCCGCCTCCCCACCAGCCAGGCCATACAGCCGCTGCGGCTTGAGTAACGTTGCTCTGCTTTTCTGGCAGGCTGCCAAACGGTTCCAGTGAGCGACGCCACGAAACACCGTTGCCAGAGATTACAGAGGGCTTCCCAAGCACCAACGACCACCAGTCGAGCAGGGCCGAGCCGAGCCGAGTTGTAGTTTTTGCCGCTTTTTTCGATTGCGGTTTGGGAATTTGGTTTCCCATTTACAGTTTTTTTTTTTTCGTTGAATGTCATCAAGTTGTCTCAGACACAGTTCTGATTTTAGTAAAGTATTTCTCTTTAAAATGCTTATCGCGATGATTCGCAAAGTGCGAACATATACACACACAGGCGGTTTCTTGCCAATATGAGTTTTTGCGTACATGCAAAAACCATAAAATGCGTGTAAAAATATTGGATCATTACTTACTAAAAATACACTAAAAAGCCAAAAAACTTAACATATTTTGCGATACCGGTCCCCGATCGTACTTACCTGATAGCAAATTGTATTTAATTGTAAGTTGCTGTGGGGTTTTTTGAGCAATAATCCGGGAATGAGACTCATCGGATTATTTAGTTATACTAACTCAATTTACGTCGACGAATAATTAATGTTAAACTCTTAAAAGAAAATGTGCAGTTCCCCGTCTTTGTTATATCTTAAAATCTCGGCTATATTTTTTCCAAAGCATAAGCTGGCGTAGTGAAAAGGCGTCACATTTCTCTAGTTGCTAAACTATTTGAAGAAAAAAAAAAAAAAAACAAAACGTATTTCCAATGAAAATTACAGCAAACGCAACCGAAGGCCAAGCATAATTTGGGCCAACTTTTTGTTTTGAAGCATTACACGCTACTGTCTAGTCGCATCTACAACATACACTTTACATTTTACGGTCAGATCCATCAGTTTTACGGCAACTATCAGAACACAATAGCTCGACTCAGCTCGACCGGCGTCATACATGTCCTGCGAATGATTTTTTCGGGTGCAGCAAAACACGCTGGATGCCGTAGGTGGAATGGTGGCGAGAGTGAGGGGAGGGGAAGGGAGCGTTGTATGGGAATTCCGGGCGTGCGGGTTGAAGGCAAGGAGGAGGAGGATGGGGTGGGGAGTGTTGAATTGAATGGTTACGTAGCATGAATCCTTTGGCAATTGCCTAAGCCACGTAAGGTAGAGGGGAAGGCAGTTGGTGAGCGGAAAGGAAGAGGAACTGTGCTGTTGATTTTTGCCGCGAATACGAGGACTGCAGGAAGGGCTTCGGAAGGCGGTAGACTGCAGAGGTTGCAGGAGGCGGGGGAGGATTAGCAATGATGGGCACATTTTGTGGGTGTCGAATTTAAAACACGGGGAGGGGAGAGGGGGAGGTTAGGATGAGTATGAGGGGGCGGTATGTGCAGGTTTCGCACGCATGGATTGAAGGCAGCGGGAAGGGATTATGTGAGTACATTGAATGGTTACGTGGCATAAATCCTTCGACGGTTGCCTAGATAATGTATAGGGGAGGGGAGGGGGTGATGGGTGGAAAGAAGGAGGAAGTATGCTCCTGGTTATTTTTGACGCGGATGGCCGGGCTAGGGAAAAGGCTGAAGTATTACATGCTTCTAGAATTCTGTTATAGTGGGGATGGAGAGAAGCTCAGATGTTGTTTTGCAAGGGGATTTAGGACAGAGGAAAGAAAGGAAGCGAGGACATAAGTCAGGAACTCGAGGCAAAAACTGCGGACAACAGTGAAGGGGAAGAGAAAACAAAGCACTACAAAAAAAAAAATTAATTTAAAGCAACTCTGGGTACTGGAAACCGGCGACAAAAAATCGCTGATAACCTTGATTTGCTCTCGAAAACGCCTTTTCAACATTTGCTTGCGATTTTGCAATTCCAAGCACCGTTTCGTAACCGTATGGCTTTATCCAGTGACGATCATCATCGCTTGTAAACTGTTCTCTTAAGATAGTTTGACGAAAAGTAGCATTTGCTCAAATCTTAAGAAGCTTGAAAAGCTCATTTCTAAAACGTTAACACAGGAGTACTACCACTGGTGCAGTCCTAAACCTATTTTATTCAGAGCGGTCTCTGTGCTGTTTCTAAAGGTAGTGGTTTTACATCTTGCGTTACAATAATCATTTCATGCCCCCTGTTCAAAGTAATTGCTGTAGTGAGTGCCACATCACTAAAGGTGAAATGAAAATATTATAAGGATGCTTGAAAAGCCGTTAATATTAATTTTTCTTGATGCTAGACACCACAATAAAATCTTTTGTCAGAATTCAGAGAAATACAAGAGGTTTTGCCCGTTTCTTCCTATAATGGGAAAATTGTCGCAGAAACCAACCACCTGCTTGGCTCCAGACACGGTTTCTCCATACTCTGTAGCCTGTAAATTCTCGGATCAACCGCCTAAAATTTGGGGTTTTTTGGTGAAGCAACGTGTTTTTGCAGTTACCCGAATTATGCTTTTGTTTTGGCTTAGTTATCTCAAATTTCCATTACGTACGGGTTGCGGAACGCTCGGATAGCGACTTCTTGTTTCGTCGATGCGGTGTCTAACGCTTGCTGATGAGTACTCTGTTCTTCCGAAAATTTACATCCTTCATTTTTTGCGCTTTTGTGAATTTTTCCATGCTTGCTGGAATGCAGAAACGCATATAAACGAGTGTATATGAATGTTTATCTTTGCGTGAGTTTGTGTATGTATGAGTTTCGGATTACTTGAAATTTCAACCACGAAATGAAATTCAAACATTTTTGGATTGTGGAAATTTTTGCTGATATTTCAGAGACATCAGCTAAAGAACAGTTTACTTTCAGAAAAATGGAAGTGAATTATTTCATGCCGTCTCACTGTAATTCGTGATTAGGTTGTATGTGGACTAGGGACGTTCGCGAATTTTAGCTTTCTATTTACTCGAGTTGCTGAGATGAAAGGGGCGAAGGATGTACGTAGAAAAGAAAATGATGAGCTCCTGCACATTTTCAAGCTTAGAAATGCTAAAAATCTGCACGAAGAGGAGGATGCTAAACGTTTCATCGCGCAGTGCAGAATTTTGACGAAAAAAAAATTAAAATTTTGTAAGCCATTCATGAGCGTTCTGCCTAATTCTTCGAAGGCTCCATGGAGACCAAAATTCACCGAACTTTTCTGCTTTGCCGCCGCTACCTGTATGGTAATATCTTTCGGAGCTTAAAGTCTGATTTTAGGTCTTCTACCTCCAGTCTGCTAAATCTTTTCTGCTTGGTATCAACATATACGAATTTTGCCGTCTTCTTTCTCGTCCAGAAACACATCTTTGTTTGGCTAAAATGCTATTAACCGATCTAAAGATCGTTACCTTAGACAAGGGAACTACCTGTGTGTGTTCAAGCTGATAGTGCTGAGGAAAAATGGTTCGAATAAAACGGACGAACAAAAGAAGAAAACAGATGGAAATTAGCATAAAAATTTCTCGCTCACGATACCGTAATCCAACTCAGGTTGACAAGCATCAGGCTTGCCGGTGCGATCATGCATTTTTGCACCAGACTTGAAGTACTCTGGTCATTAGCTGCATGGATGGTTATTGCCTATCTTTTACGCTCGTTAGCGTAAATCATCATAAATTTTGCATAAAGGAAATGAACCATTTCAGTTTAACAGTCGTTCTTTGAAAGTAACCTAGCTGTTCAGCAAGAAGTTTTTCCGCCAAAAATTTTGAGTGCTCGTATTTGAGAACCAAGCATACCTGAAGGCTGAGTCAGAAATATTTAAGTTAGGAGCATTTATCGGAAAAACCGGTGCCAGTTGTGATAAAAACTGCGGGGAACTGTACAAAAAACGCATCTTCGCACCGCCAGTCGGTGCGATGGCCAATTATCTTTGTACTACTGTGTTGTCCCTTCCTCTTTGGTACAGCCTTCAGTCTTTGCCTCGAACCTGTAATTAATACCCCTGTCCCCCCTCTCGCGTCCTGCCTCAAAATCCTACTCCCATAGCGGCATCTGGGCACCCATCACCCCCAACCACTGTCACCAATAATCGTTCCGAGTTCCTCACTAGCGCTGTTTTCCCTTTCCGCTATCCTGTCCCCATCCCAAGCCCTCTGAGCTGTATGTGGGAACTTACCACTTAGCACCCCCTCCCCCCCCCCCCCCCCCCCCCC